GGGGAAGAGAAGAGGGTATGGGGAGGGGAGGACAAGGGGGGAGGAGAAGAGGGCGGGGGTGGAGGAGGAGAAGAAGGTGGAGCGGGGAGGAGAAAACAGCTTGGGGAGGCAAAGAGGGCATGGTAGGGAGGAGAATAGGGCGGGAGGAGGACTGGAGGAGGACTGCTGCTGTGTGGCCCTGTCCTCGACTCTGATCCTCAACCCTGTCCTCTTGTCTGGGCAGGAGTGGCAGGTTCACCCAGGAAGAGCCCTGAAGGGCAGCCAGTGCTCGTGACACGCTCTCTCTTCGTGCCCTGCAACCCCAGCCATGGGGCGACCCCGGCCAGGAGGCAGCAAGCATGATCCTGAAGGAGCAGAGTTCGGTGTTCAGAACTAGCTGCTGTCCTCAGCATCGCTCTTAAACTTGAATCAGAAAGGGCGAACCAGCTGCGGTTCCCCAGACTCCGTCTGGCCATCCATTCTGAAAGGTGGCCCTGGTCCCCTGCAGGAGATGTGACTCAGGAGACACCAGACACTGAGACTGTGTTCACCGGTGGAGGCTCAGCAGCCTCGCCAGATGCAGAGTGACCTCTGATATGGGCGATGACACCAAGGACGCAAATTCTTATATAATAAAGTCTGTCAACGTCTGGATGCACAACTCAGTGGACCAGTGTCTTCAGGTGACCAAGGCAGCTGCACGATCCTGCATGGGTGGGCAGGATACCCCTCGGAGCACAAAGCAGAACCTGGGGTCCTGGGGCTGTGGGAAGGGCACCGAGCAGCCTCCCTGTGGGACTCACCCTGCTGAGCTCTGATGTGGAATCCGAGCATCGCTGCATCCTGAAGGATAAGCGGGGACCCTCCTCAGGAAGAAGAGACCCTGGAGTAGTGCCCAGCACACACCGTGAGAGGCAGGCAGCATCAGAGTCAGCCAGAACTGCACCTGCCCAGCCTGTCACAGAGGCAGTGCGGACTGCCGGCCTCTGGGCTCTAGCCTCCGGCCTCACACCAGTCTCCAGCCTCTGTCTTCCATACTCTGTCCTCTGCCCTCCATCCTCCATCCTCCACTCAGCCGGGATGGCAGAGACATGCTACCAGGTGAGATAGCAGCCTGCTCCTGAGACTGTTGTGCTTTGGAATTCATATATATTTTCACGATATCATGCTATTTATGGCCACACACCATGAGTTTATTGTGGTTATTTTTAATGAATGGATGGCTGTTTTTAAATTCTCTTCATTTAAGCATCTAACGGCACATCTCAGCAGCAAATGCTCACACAGACATTCATTGGGCCCCGAATGGTAGTTCAATTCAATTGCTTTTTTTTTTTT